GCAGGGGCACCTGGAACTAACTTCACAGGCTAACATGAGCCTTAGCTACTAGCCATCTTGCAACACAAATACCATGTGGTTAGATGCATTCATCTACCGCTAACTGTAGTAGCTACACAGTCAAGGGAAGAGCCAACGGCCTCCTTGATAGTCCTCCGGCACACAGGTCACAGCAGCTACGCAACTAAAACCTGTTGATCAGGCAGTGGGCATGCTAATCTATAAAACAACTAGAACCTGCATGGGCAGTAGTATATGAGTGATGAAGGAGGCATGTGTGTGCATGTGTGTGTGTGTGTGTGTGTGTGTGTGTGTGTGTGTGTGTGTGTGTGTGTGTGTGTGTGCCGCCACTCACAAGCCCTAACCCTCTCTTGATTGCGCAAGCCGCCCGCTAACCATCCAGCCTATACTTCCCCTGCCTAGCACCTGGGGAGATTCCCCATTGGTGTATTCAGGGGAATTCCCCTAGGTTGTGTCCTCAAGGGGATTCCCCAGGTGGACAGTGCGCCGCCATCTTGACTGTGGCATGCAGGATTTTTTGTCACAAATTATTTTCCTTCAGTGAGTTCACAATTATTCTTGCGAGCCTGTTAGAATGCGATCTCGGACATGCAGCTTCGTGAGCATGCATGACTGAGGCAGGTTTGGCAGGATGCCAATACGCCGGGACAAGACATCGCCCCCCTCAACTCCAGTGCATTTAAACCGACAGGGTGCCTACTAACTGGACCGCTTGCATGACTAAACACGAGAAGACTTGCAGGCTTGGGGGGGGGGGGGACTAAGATTCGAATACCAGGGCATATCTCATGACCCGAAGACGAATCTCATTGCCATGGTACTGGCTCCCCTGGCATATTGTCTGCTGCCTTGTTCCAGTCATGCAACGAACATGCACACACACACACGCGCAGACACACACACAGGCACAGACACACAGACACACACACACACACACACGCTCACTTGCAGCTGGAATCCCTTTGTCGGGCCCAATGCCCGGACGTGCTCCTGATCAAGAGTACCTAGCCAAAAGCAGCGAACTGCACTGTAGCGGGGAAGTTGGAAGGTCTCGGTATTGGCACATACGCCGTTCTACCGTGACAGCTTATGCCGAGAGTGGGACTGAGAGCAGTTATTTTACCAGCTCAAATGTCCTGCAGGTCGGTTTAGAAGTGCGCGAACTTTGATACGAATTCCCCTTGAACTTGCACTTGGATAGTCCGCCCAAACAACAGAGAGGAAATCATACAGCGCAGTATCTGTGACCTTTGAAACAGTGGACACAATTGCCCAACGCATGAAGCCAAGGCAATGTACTGCATTCAGTGCGTCCAAATGTGAATCATCGGTATGACTTGTATGTTTAGGAATGGCCGGCGACCTCACCCGCCTCTCAGCTCACTCAGTATCCTGGTGGCACAATGCCAATGGCCACCGCGGGCGCCGAAACCCACGGCTTCACCTCACATTCATAGAACTCAGCACCAATGCCGGTACTGCCCAGGTGACCACAGTAACGCTGGCCCATCGCCTCAGCATACATGTAAGCCTACTAGCCATCTGGCCAGGCCGCAAGCAAGACCAATGTATGCGGTGGATCACACCATGATGCATGGTGTGATCCACCGCATACAATGTACAGTGAAACAGCTGTCTAAGACGACTGCTCAAGGGACCTTGAAAACGTGGTCTCTGTAACCAGGTGGTCTCCTTGCCCAGGGTTATTTGACTGGAAATAGCATCCCTTGGTCCTGGTTGTAGTGGTCGCCTTATCCGAGTGGTCGCCTTGACAGGTTTTGGTGTACTCTGATAAGGCGACCAGCACGACCATGAACACGCAAGAGGACCACTACATGTACACAACCAGGCGGGGCCAACTTGGGGGACGTGATTTCCAGTCAAATCATCAGTGAAATGACGGCCTGAATAAGGAGACCACCTGCACCTGTACACGGGGAACACATTTGCAAGATCCCTTCAGCGATCGGCTAACTTGCGGCCAGGTTTCACTGTACGAGTAAGATCCATGCCAGTCCCATACACTCTGTGTTCTCTCTAGCAAGTGTTCACCCCACCACTTGTGTGCAAGACTCTCGTAGATCCGAGTGCTCAACTGCCCTCGAGAACTTCAGAAAGACTCGACCAGCGTTACGCAAATAGCAGGGTTGTAGCAAAAGGGGGGGGGGGGGTAGGGCAACGCCCCCTACTCTGTTTGCCCCCCCCCCTACTCATTTTCCGATTTTCGTGTTTTCATGCAATTCAACAAAAATGCAGTCAAAAGTCACTATTACTAGATAGTTCATAAAGGCACATTTGCCTGGGGCGAAGTCGGGGATTCGCCCCATACGTTGCATTCAGCATAGCAAGACACTATTGGAAAGTGGAAAAATGGGTTATGGGGTAACTGCTTCCCATGCCCCCCCCCCCCCCCACTATTTTGACCTGGCTAGAACTCTGAAATAGCCTCAGGTATTACAACCAGCATCACACACCAAAAGTCTAAGCTGAACTCGTTGAATGTATCAGTACTCCTTGTCGGTTTTGTGCCATTTTGTCGCACTCGCTGACTGTATAATCTGGTTACGTTGGTGGACAGTTAGTCATAACTTATAACATTTTTGCCTTCTCCTTTTTCTCTTTTCTTTTTTTCCATAAAAGGTCTAAGGCACAACGACCAACATAACCCCAAAAAAATCTAAGACACAACGACCACTGATAGCCTTAGGCCTTCCCAGGCATACCTTGCGCAACAGTAACTTGCGGCCGCGATGCACAGTGTATGTCGCCCAAGAGTGCGTTGACACGGCAAGCTGGAGCAAGCTGGTCCGACAATGCTCTTTTCTGATGAATAGCCGCCCCAGGGTCCAGACTGGCAACTTGCACCAGCCATAACAGACGCGATCTTGGCAGGTTATGAATACACGTGCTATTGCAGCGCTGCCAACCAACTGGGCCCGTTTTGCGTACTGTGACTTTCCGTGTTTTGCAGTGTTTTTCCGTACTACCAATGTACTGCCATGTACATTGCTTGTATTGTGCTTTTTTAACACTCACATGCTTGTCGGTGGCTGAATTTGCTGGTGCAAAACATGTGTGACTGGTACCACGACATGATAATGTTGTGCTACATGTAGTCGAAGCACGGCATGCATTCGCTTTGGCACAGGGATACTCATCGCTCAGCTTGCGCTTGCCATGCTTCTACATACATATCCGTAGCTGATCAATCCTCTTCAATTTTCCGTACCACTGTTTTGCTCAAATTCCGTACTGCGGACGAAGGAGTGATTTTCCGTACAAATACGGAAGGTTGGCAGCACTGCTATTGTGCCCCCCCCCCCCCCCCTCCATGCCCCCAAGCCACACACATGCACACACCTGTGCAGGAATATCGCGCCTGTTCCTGAAACTTTCCGTGTGACAACCATTTTATCATAGTTCACTGAAGTAGTTCTAGCACAAGCTTCGCCCTTGCTCTACATACAATGTAGACTGAATACTGACAGATCACCAGAAGCACTCCAGTCACAATGTTGGCCAACAATAGTATAATAGTACATCCACCAAGGTCCATGATCGCTATGCTAGCGCTACATCATGACTAAACTCAAGCCAGTGATATCTACAGAGCATTATCTGAATCTGTCAACCGCGTACCGGTTATGACGTCAAGTCGTCATTGCTATTTTTGTCTCGTGGCAAAGGGACTTTTCTGACCACAATGATGACACAAGGGACACCACCCAGCCCCAGGCGAACGTCATTGTGCGTGTGTACGAAGCGGCTGAAGTCTGTGAAGACTTCTTTTGGACACGATAGATATCTGCGTTTGACTTTGAGTCTGAGGCTCAGCGAGAGTGGACTCGACTCCCTCGACGCCAACCGCCACTGACGTGACTCCTCAGCCATTGTGAGACACCAGATGAAGTGTGGACCTGGCTGCATGCATGCTGGACAAAGACTAGTCGACTAGTCCTACACTACTACTACTAGACTGTCAGCGCTGCTAAACTCCACTGTCTAGAGTCAGTCAAGAATAGATGGCAGGTTCACGTCACTGTTTTTCGACACGACGACAGGCGCGCTAAGTGCTCATGCCTGCACCATTGTTCGCTATGTGTACGCAAGCGCGCTGACGTCGCTTCAAAAAAACCGTTCAAGATATACCTAGTACCTCTCACTTCTCAGGGCTGGAGGCTGGAGCGGGGACTTTTCCCTGTCCGTCTACCAACACACGTGCAAGGGCGTGCCTAGGACACGCTTGCCGAGCGGCGAGCGAAACTCAAGGAGGGACTTGAAATGGTCGAGTGCTCTTGAGATCTGTCCGCATACCGCCCGTTTATAACACGTCTACAGACTGGACTACACGAACGCTGTATGGCACCATGACTGGCATGAGCGCATGTTTCACGATGCGCCTCCTATACACCACAGTAAACGAACAATTCAATATTAAAAGGAATAGTTTCGACTTGATATGAATTATGATGCCTGGCCAGCTGGCCAACCATAGGATTGGGCCTAGTTCGTATTAATGGAAAGGTCGCCTTATCAGTGTTCGTCCTAACGAGGTTTGACAGTACAGTGTAGTAGAGATTCTCGCGCATTCTCCATGTTCTTGGCAACGGATCTCCAGCACATGGGACGTTCTCATGTACAACCTTTGTTGAAGAGATTGCAGATCGGATGTGGTGTTCCGACCCACGCGACGGTAGAAATAACGAGTTTACTTTGGACGGTGCCGGGCTTGCAATGCGGCCATGTACGTCTGTGTGCATTGGACGGGTCTAGGAATCTGCACGAAGTTACTTTCCGACAGGCGCTAACGCTTTCGCTCCGATCCTCGCTTGTCAAAAACACATCTGACGTGACCGAAATCTCGCCAGCGTGAGTCAACCTTGCCCCTCGCATGGTCAATCATCCTGGACCGTGGATGCAAATCTTGCCAGCGAAGTCGAGAAGACAGTAGTCTACCCACTACATGGAAGCGCAGTGCGATCGACATGACTGTGTCAACGGTCGGTTGACCATGGTTGACGCGACGCGCTAGGCCGAGACGGTACTTCGAGCTCAGTACCGTGGAATCCGCAAAATTTTGCAGGTAGTGTTCAGGGGGATTCCCCGCGCATTGCACAGGGACTTTACCTTGATTTGAACTGGTTGCGTCAGGGTTGTGCAACTGCATACCGTACCGGTACCGGTCGTGTACGTGTGGTTGTGGCCAGCCAGACAACGAGCGCATGAGAGAGCCACCGCCAGCACTGCAGCGTGCAGACAAGGGCAGAGTTGGCAGCCCAGGAGGATGATCGTTTCTGCGACGTTGGCCAGGGGAAATGGAACGATGCTACTACTTACCTTGTTTAGGTGTTGGTGAGTTGTAGGCTCTTGGCAAGATAAGAGAATTGCTTTTTTGGATGCATGCAAGAATGATGAGAGAGTCACTCAGCGGAGTGATACTGAGTAGCAAGCATACACACTACAACAATGGTACGTGGCACATAAGATCATGGAGACTAGTTCACAGGACCTCCACAGCTATTCATGTTGTGTTACATCGTAGCACACACACACACACACACACACACACACACACACACACACACACACACACACACACACACACGCGCACGGGAGCCGCATACTGCAGCAAATCAGGTATCATGCGCAACACAGCCGGAATGCCCCGCAATTCCAAGGGAGTTGATACTATTGCATGTGATTGCCATAGCACGCTATAACACCGCTCCCACCCACCCTATCTCTATACTACTACTGCATATGTTACTACTGAGTCTGTGCACGTGTTTCCACAGCAATTACATCCACCACAACTACAAACAGAAGTCCGCCCTCGGCACGAAGACTGTATTACACGCCAGATACAGGGACTCGGAGTAAACGACGCTGATAGCCAAATGCCAACTAGTCAGTAGTCGATCTGATGCTGGCCAGTTTAGACTTCCCAGTGTTGTACTAGCCTAACCCATGAACACACGATTCACTGAGAACTTCTCAGTCCAGTGATCACAGAAACGTTGCTGCTGCTTTTTAAAGGAGGATTGGAAACTTACCACGGCGGTCCTATTACTAGAGGTACGGTATTTATAATAATATCCCTATTACCAAGAATGTTTATGTACTCTTGCTATTACTAGTAGTAGTAGATCCATGGTATTTATAATCTCTTTCGCTTGCAACATTCGCATGTCTTTGATTTCAATGCTCACCTTTCGCTTGTCCTCGGTCTGGTGTTGGGAAGCGGGTGCAGCGGATGGTCTCCTGCTGAGGTGCTTGTGTCGTGGTGAGGTTTGAGTGCACCTATGGTGTGTGTGCGCGTGTGTGTGTGTTCACTGGCAGCACCAAGGTGATCTCAGCCACGACGGGAAATCCGTGTCGAGCGAATGAGAGTGTATTGCACAATGAATCTGCTGGCCCGCTGTTGCTGAACGGCTGATCAAGACGTGTTCCGGCCTGGTGCTAGCGTTATAGCGGCGTTAGCGATGTAAATCTCGGAGCTGGCTGTTATAGCTTCACCAACAAGCAAACAATTGCTCTGCCACTGTGCGGCGCTGAGACAAACAAGTAGTTAGTGCTGAGCTTAGCAGTCAGCAAAACACACCAACCAGCGATAGGTGAGCAGCCGCATAGAGTGCAGTTCACACTACACACACTATTGTAGCTGGCTGTGTACTGGATTCTGCCTCGCTAGTACTCAGTACTAGTAAGTTAGTTGCTGCTACTGCACGGCAGGCTGGACAAGAGGACGAGACGTTCAAGAACTGCTACCGATCGCTAGCGAGAGTATTGCCATACCTAGCACATTCCCGGGCAATGACGTGATTATATGGCTCGTCTCGACGACTATCGACTTCTCTCGAGCACTGGCGACAGACTCGGCAGTGCTAAAACATTCGCAACCTTGCGCTTGCTCATGATAGACGTGACGATCGAGGCTCTACTCTAGGCCAGTCCTGGGGAAAGTCCCTGCTAAACAGTCATCGCATTTGTTGGCACGTTCAACGTCGATGCTCACGTGCGCTGCAGATAGCGACGTAGTGACAACTGTCCACTGTCATAATCAGTGGTCTGTCAACAGTGTGACTTGTGTCGACGAGGGCACGCCAGAATACTCATTGCCCGACATTGGCGTTGCTTTCTGGCGGTGTGTAGGGGTATTTCGTAGATACACTCGGGAGTCGGAAGACTCGGAACACAAGTTTCAAAAACAGGCTGCAGGCTACACGTACAGGATATTGGCTCTCCTCTTTCTACCAGTGCTGGTCTATTTCCGTGAGCTGCATTAACGTTGCTGGTTCGTCGTGCCTATGCCATGGAAGTAACTACATGTACATGTATTACTTATGCGCCATGGGAAGCACTAAGAACCCAGACCAGGGAGTAGTAATTTACTACTCCCTGCTCCCTGACCCAGACCAGGGAGTAGTAATTTACTACTCCCTGACCCAGACCCATGGACTGCCTTTGAGTTGACTACACTGCTGAAACATAATGTCATTATGTTTCAGCAGTGTAGTCTGTACAAGTAAGAGTCAGGCACAGTACTTGTCATTTTAGTAATCCTTAGCTTTCAGGATTACCCGTTGACCATGTTGACAGTTTGTCCCTGCCCAGAGCTTCTCGAAACCGGCGATCTAGCTCGGCTCGAATCAAGAATGACTGTGATGCAACGTCGTCACAACTATACTTGAAGTACACGCAATGATGAGCAACGAGCTACATCATGTACAAAAGTACCCGTGTGCACAAAATAGTCCCTTCCAATTCCAAATATGCACTGATTGCCCCAAATGTGTCGAGGAGACAAAGTTGCATATTGTGGCTATAGCAGCTACGCGGCTATGACATCATGTTACTGTTTTAGAACCACCACGTGACCACGTGACCACCTAGTCACCATACCTATGGTCACTGGGCTGGCTCATCTCCAGGAGTGAACACCGAAACAGTGGCGGCTCTCCGCTCCATATCCACAAACACTACTTGGAGGTACAATCGTGGCTTCAGACAATGGCCTTTGAGTTACCCATGTGAGCTACTGTGTGTCGGTGTTGTACTGCGTGAGTGATTGTTCAGCTCTTGGCAGCGGTGCCCGTGTGAAGGTGTTTGTGCTTACGGTTGCAGATCTGCAACTGACACCTGACAGTCCGCAACTCTTACTCCGAGTCTCCGTGAGACTGCACTGAGTCCGAGTATGTGCAGTTCTTTCTTTTTAGCTTCGGCCTGTATGACTACTACAGTATTCACTTCGTCTTGGGGGTTAGACATGGGGAAGTTGCCATACAGGGGTGGTGAGCCCGCCTTTCGGCACCGGAAGAAGTTACTCGAGGGTACAGAAGAATACACGTGGACTCAGTAGAGACTAAGAGAATCACAGTGTGTTTAAGCCCTCATTGCCTCAATGCTATTCTATTCACATCCTTTATTGCTGAACCCACAATGCTATTCTTGGCTTTAACCTGGTACTTACCAGTACCAGCACCAGGTATACAGAAGCACTCGATCAGTGCGACTCTCTCATGCCACTCTATAGACTATACATACATGTACATGTACGTCCTTTTTATTTTTTTATTTTTTACTAGAGCCACGTAAACCCGTCATGTGTGAGCCATGAATAAGGGGAGTGGTGGCGTGGTCTGGGATGCTCTGCCGACCTTGGGTCTCGGCTTCATCACAACCAGGCGCGCCAATAGATCCTGTACAGACATGTTATTCGATCGATGTTAGTATAGCAAACCCAGGCTGCTTTCTAGTATAGTAGTACTAGTACCGGTACAATCTAAAGGCAAGACTTGCTTTGAGTGATGGCACAATTGAAAGGTGGACATGATGATGGATGGGATTGCTTTGGCTTCATATCAGGGCTTTGCCCACACAAAGCCACTGAGTGATTTGGCAGGCCAAGGCCAAGGCCAAGGTGTACTTGGTCGAACCTTTTTAAAACACACATGCAGACTAGTACCAGGCTACCTGCCCTGTGTATTCATTATTACCAGCCAGCTGGAGATTAGAAGGAAAGCTGCACGAAGCACGTATGCACGCAACACTGCCAACATGTTGCTGATGCTCACAACGCGGTGTAGTACACGTGTATATTGTATGCGGTCCGAGGCGGATAATGGGAGAAAGAGAGAAGCAAGTGGGAGAGGAATATTAGAGAGAGAGAGAGAGAGAGAGAGAGAGAGAGAGAGAGAGAGAGAGAGAGAGAGAGAGAGAGAGAGAGAGAGAGAGAGAGAGAGAGAGAGAGAGAGAGAGAGAGAGAGAGAGAGAGAGAGAGAGAGAGAGAGAGAGAGAGAGAGAGAGAGAGAGAGAGAGAGAGAGAGAGAGAGAGAGAGAGAGAGAGAGAGAGGCACGCATCGAGGGAAAGACAGTGACACAGACATGTAGAGCCGGTGAGGGGGAAGAGATGGAGGATGAGGAAGACATGGAAGAGGAATGAAAGTGGAGCTATGAGAATAGATGGACGTACTGACAGAGGAAGACAAATCAAGAAGAAGCTAGAGATCGGCGACTAGCAAGCTCCTCATAATACCTTTGTCATAAGGTAAACCGATGTCGGAAGCCAGTGTACCTTAACTGAGCAAGACAAAAGAAGTTGCCCTTCGAACACTGAAGAGTCAAGAGTATTGCGATTGGCAAATGAACTAGACAATAAAACGGACTTTTCCAGTCTTTGAAGAAGGTTTGGTTACTCCCCACACTGGAGCTCGCACTTTCCCTGCCGATTTTACATGACACGTGACCGACTCACGGTGCCCATCCAGATAGAGCAGACGAGAAGTCCATCAAACCTTCCACTCGGAAAACATGCAAGCAGGACAGCACATATTGTACCATTGCATCTCATTCCCCAACACGCATGTTACACGCGACCAACCTGACCACGCCGTGCCGGAGGGGACGGCCACCACTGGCACCAAGAGTATATGGGGGTTATGGGGGGTCGTTATACTCTTGCTGGCGCCAGGTACCAAAGAGTCGTCCCCCGTTTTTTAGTCCAACAAGCACCACTTGCACTCCCGTTCAGTAGAGACATTTCGCCGTGAGAGAGTCTCAGAGTCGGAGTCAGACAGCACCGTGGTAAAAAGTCTTTAGAAGAGGCCTTCCCAAACTTTACTCAGCACCTTGGCCTTGCCCTGGCCTGGGCGTGTGGTTTGGAAGAGCGGCAACAAGTGGCTCGACAGCATGCTCGCATCGTCATAAGTCCCATCACTGAGTGGGTAAGGTAATACGTCATGGTAACCATGGTAACGTTGGTACGTGCCGTGCATGCACGCAGCGATCATCGATCGGATCGGACAGTGCATGCAGTGGGTCATGGATCACGCCGATCGACAGCTAGCTAGTATTAGTACTAGTATAGTACTCTCCACGCGGAGATCGCGAGAGCGCTGTCGATCTGCCTGCGGAAGCAACACAGTTCGATTCGAAATCAAGCCAGGTTCGGCAAGACAAGGCTGCACCCAGCCTGGCAGCAGTTCAGGAGTCCGTTTCCTAGCCTAAGTCTAAGATCATTCAAAGATCTTGATCTTGTTCGAATCGCGAAGGGCTAGGGATCATCCGAGATTTTTTGTCCTGCTATCCAGGTCATGAATTGGCGATAATTATCATGATTGTAGGTTACGACTTCCGCTGTGTTCACTGTTCGTAGCTGGTCGTCGTCGAAGCTGCGCTATCGCGCTAGTGATTGGACTATTTGAAGTGTCCAGGTAAAACTAAAATTATTGTCAATATTGAAGGCAGCAAACACTGTGACTGCACATGTTCCTAGCTAACGTTAGCAGCAAGAGTCTAAATGAAAAGAAGTTTTATGCAACCGAACCAGGCAACTGTAGGCGTTCTTCACTCAGTGTGAAATGCTATCGTATCGTGTTGGTCGCCGGTGCGAAGTCTGCACGTGCAGCTAGCGAGTAACGGCCTGTGTTAGCGCTCTGAATTTATTGCGGTTGCTGTGGAGCTGCTGCACAGTGACGATTGATCACTGGCTGGTAGGGATCTAGAGAGTGAACGCACATCACACGTGGCAGGCAGGCAGATCTGAATTCTACTTTATTCCCCAGTCGGCATCCATGATCACACAGTGCCTGCAGCACATAACATTGCTAGGCGATGTGATAGGAGAGAGTTCGCCAACGCTCCTCCAATCTGTCACGATCTGCTAGCTGAGACTGCGGCATAATTTCACATCACTGGATCTCGGACGCGGATATCTCTTGCAAATAGCACAAGCACTATCGCCGTGTGCTGAGTCTGTAGAGTGTGTGAAGCTATCGTTTCGCTATGAACAGGTACCGCACGTTCGCAGCAATGCCCGCCGCGGAGGGCAATGGCGGTGCCGACAGTTACGGTAGGCATGGCAACGTGGACGCAGACCCGAACGCCGCTGGCAAGGACCAGCAGCGGCTGCAGCGACGGCGTCTGCACCGCATCGTCACATCACCGCCCGTGGTGGCCATTTTATCGTCGTTGGCAACGGCCGCAGTGTGCATGACATACATGCGATGGCTAGGCTCTCCGTCAACGGGAAAACGGGTCTGCTCTCTCGCTGGAGTAAACTCGTCACGCCCGGTGCTATTTGTCGGTGGCTGTCCTCGTTCGGGCACAACCCTGATGCGTGTAATGCTGGATTCTCACCCTGATGTAAGTCACCTACCGTAGTCAGTTCACAGACATGATGCACGGCTAACTGAATATAGTCACACCTCGCTTATCCCGTCCTCTTTCATCCGGATCCCTCGCCAACCGGAAGAAAATCGTTGGTTACCGATTTACAGCATATGCCATGCATACACACAGTATGTGTGTTCGATTATCCGGTTCACTCGCCTATCCGGATATTTTTGTGGAAAACGGATGTGTGCGGTTAAGCGAGGTCTGACAGTACAGCAAAGAGGTGATAAAGCAGCACAAAGGTGAATAGCTAAACCAACAACGGCGTGACCCATACACGTAGAAAAGGAAGACGAAAGTGCGACGAGATCAACCAAGCGTGAAATGTAATGCGACCAAAATGGAAAGCCAATGGCCATAAGTTCCCATAACTAACCTATGCAAACAGAAACAGATTAAATTCACACCTAGGCTGTTAGGTAGGTAACTGGTTGTCAGCAATTCGTTAGTTACCGTACTTTCGCACATATAGGCGCATGTGCTTTTGTCCGGACATAAGCGCATGTGCTTATATGTGAACAATATTGGTGAAACATCCAGGAGCTGGCTGAATGGCCTGATGTCCATAGCCTCTATAACCATTACTGGTGAACTTGCCAGTGGTGAAATTGACCGCTGTGTGTGTGTGTGTTTATATGTGTTTGTATGTGCGTGTGCGTGTGCGTGTGTGTGTGTGTGTGCATGTGTGTGCCTGCATGGGTGTGTGTGTGTGTGTATGTGTGCGTGTGTGTGTGTTTATGTGTATGTGCCTGCATGGGTGTGTATGTGTGTGTGTGTGTATGTGTGTATGTGGGTGTATGTGTGTGTGTGTGTGTGTGTGTGTGTGTGTGTGCGTGCGTGTGTGTGCGTGTGTGTGCATTTATGTGTGTGTGTGCATGGTGTGTGTGTGTGTGTGTGTGTGTTAACACGTATACTGCTCCACCCTTACGTGCGACTACAGGTATTCTGCGGTGAAGAGACGCGAGTTATCCCGGAGATGCTCTCACTGGTAAGTTGCTTCTAATACCGTGGCGGCCCAATCAGTCTATGTAGTCAAGGCTGGGTTCATCTCCTCTATCACCTCCCTTTTGCATACCCGCTGCCAAACTGCATCTGCGGGACGAAGTAGTTGTTATTCGCGACGCGATGCAAAAGACAGGATAATTACAAGAGCGTATGGCGCTACCCAGATTGCACAGCGCTTTTGCTAGCTAGGAATTTAACCCGCTGCCTCATGTCTGCGGGGAAGTCAATGTTCTAAGTTTCTAACCATTTCGGCCGCCGGGTCATGAACCAGTCTGCCAAGCGATATGCTCTAGCAGGCATAATTATCGCCACTCTGGGGCGGGAAATAGTATTTTGTACAAACCAGGATCTGAACTGGCTGAGGCCTCCGGGTGTTTGAAACGCCAATTCTGTAAGTCTCTATCCATTCTGGGCGGCTGGCAACAACGGTCGACTCCTGACAACGAACACCGTTGTGCCGGAGAATTAGTTCTTCCAGCCGATGTTCTTTATAACAGAAATGTACGCACACTAGAAAATCAACAGCTCCGACTTGGTTTACATGCGGCCCTACACGATATGGCTCGTTATAAACGAAGTAAACGAAAACGGTTCGCTACAAAGGCTCCTGGCAATTTTGTATGGGTTCAAACAGGGACATGGGCAAGGGTTCGCTATGTCACGAAATTCACTATATGCGAGTTCGTTATAAGTGGAGTCGACTGTACATGTATTCACCCGTTATTGAACTATGCAATTGTATTCCTTGCTTGATTAGGTACGTAAATGGCGTAAGGATCGTGAGCAGCAGCGGCAGCTGGCTGGCGGTGTTACCCAGGACATCGTCGACGACAACGCACGGGACTTCATCTGGCGGGTGTTACGTCGCCATGGTGACAAGACGCCGACGCAGCGTCTGATGTGCGCCAAGGTAGGGTGTGCTGTGCGGTAGGCAGCGGTGCATACAGGCGCGTATTTCCACGGGGTTTCCATGCTGCCCACAAAACCTGTTCTAAAAGAGCACGACGGGTGAGCGTATAATCCCCGAAAGCTTTCGTGCCGGGCTTCACAATGAAGTCCCCGAAAGCTTTCGTGCCGGGCTTCACAATGAAGTCCCCGAAAGCTTTCGTGCCGGGCTTCACAATGAAGTCCCCGAAAGCTTTCGTGCCGGGCTTCACAATGAAGCCGCCTCCACTAAGCTGGATTATGATTGTACGGTAAAACCTGTCAAAGCGACCACTCGGATAAGGCGACCACATGTCCTAGAAGACTACTGCAACAAGGACCAAGGGATGCTATGTCAAGTCAAATGACCCTGGATAAGGACCTGGTAACAGAGACCACATTTTGAAGGTCCCTTGAGCAGTCGTCTTACTGTACATGTACACAGGTTTGCTGGTTTCGCATCCCACCTGTGGAGCCTTCTTTTGCACGCGTGTCACAGCATGCTACGCAAGCCTGCCAGGAATACGCTACAGACTTGATAGGTGTGGAAGATTGATTTGGTTTGGGCTTTAGCTGGCAGAGATGCCGGATTGTTCGAATATCAAGTTCACTCTCTGCCCGGAAAGCGGCGGAAACCAATGCAAAAAGGAACCCTTCCGATTTTGACAGAAAGTCCAAAGATTTCACTGTAGAAGTGTTTGTGTATGTATGTGTGGCTACAATGTCATGTGACGTGTGTGTGTGTGTGCACGTGTCTGGTCATTCAGGATCCAATGACGATGCGCCACGCCGTGTATGTGTCTCAGCTACTACCCAACAGTAAATTTATATTTATGATCCGCGATGGACGGGCAGTGGCCGCCTCCATTGTCAAGCGGAAAGTAAGTTCATTGACAGATGTATGCACGGACCCTGGTATGATTTGTTTACCGGTATGGACTATGCGTGCGATATGCGACCTGTTCATAACAGTCATTATCAATAGAAACCCTCCCTAGTGTTCTACTCCAATGATGGATAATTCTTCGACTTGATAGTACTCGGATGCAGCTAAGCATCAGGTCGTTGAATGCCAGTACAGTCAGACCTCGCTTAAAGGGGAAGTCCGGTGAAAAATTTAAATTTCAGGGTCGGTAGAGTTTCGGGCGCTGAGTCGAATGGTGTTGGTCCCACGTGTCTCCGACAAAGCGTTCTCGAGATATTTCCGTTTGAAAAACTGAGTTTCGGGGGCTGCGCCATGACGTCATGCGGCCGCGCCACACCCTCTGCAACGTCATAGCGTGCAGCTAGGTCAAAAGGAGTGCGTGAAAGCCCCCCCCCCAATAGACCCTTTGCACAATAATGGTCACGTGATCCGAGACGGGGCATCCTCTTCGATTTTTGTGCAGAGTATCAGTTGTTGAGCATGGTGGACACTGTATTTTTCCATTTTGGAGATGGAGGGGAGAGTGTCGAGTGGTTTGCCATCGATGGCTGTGGAACCCGTGGACGAACTGTCCAATGAAGAATGGTCTGTGAAGGAACTGAACAGTTTTCTGCTGAATGAGGGTGCGTATCTGTCTGGAAAAAGAAGGAGTCGTTGGAGCGGTAAGTCTTCCGCATTCAGTGGATATTTCGGATTACTGTACTGTAGATTGAAATATGTTTCGCTTCTCTACCTTCTCTCCTCTGTCCATGTAGAGAACACACACACTCCTCTATGCAGAACCCTGATGCTCCTAGAACTAAGAAGGGCACCACTTCCTCGAGTGTACCTTCATCATGCCCAACATTTCATGCGTCCGACTCCCAGTGGATGAGTGATGAACCTCTGTTTCCCAGAGTGAGTGCCACACCATGCGTGCTCGTCTCCAACGCAGGGGCAAGTCGCCGACGACAGTGAAGAGGGAGCTGATGGAGTAGTACTAGTGAACAAGCCCGTGGATAGTGTCCATGAGTTTTACTTTGGTGGCTATGTGCATAATGTGAAAGTCGGTCATATCGTGCACGCAGCCACAGCTCGAACTCAGATGACTTTCTCCGCACACCTGAGCGATGAGGCTGCGTCTCTCTCCTATTCAACATCAGCAGCTCGAGCAGCGCCAGCAAGCAGTCGATCTTCCAATAGCGAAGACAGGGATGGGTCATGCCTTTTTCTCAAGCTCCAGAGTCTCTTGGCAGGGCGTTCATTATCTTAGCAAAAGCAAGGATGAAAGTCGTCATGGACAAAGTGTTCCGAGCACAACACTGTGAACGATATCGCAGCACTGCGGCCCTCTTCTCGCCAGATAGCCAGGATTCCAGAGTGCGGAATGCCAGCATCACCAGGGAACGCATGGAAAGACAAGTGGGTTCCTTAGACTAACGTTAGGGATGACGGTTGGTGCAAACAAGAACCCAGAAGTGGTCCTTGGAAAGCATTTCGAAACTTCTTCCTTCAAAAACTAAAAAAACTTCAAATGAAAAAAGGCTGGGGAGTACATGTACATCGCGTCGGGACCGTGAAAACACAGCCTGTCACAGGAAACTTGATCACGTCCTGCAGCAAACCATGCATGCTGGTTGCATGCCAAGTGTGCAGCGCGTGCACAGCATGCCCCGTCTCGACCCCTCTCGCTTATTGTGCAAAGGGTCTATAGTGTCAGTGCTATTTCAAATGATTTGGCGACTGATAGTGATAGTTTGGTGCAAGCGACCCCGAAGACCTGTAACTCCTTGTGAGAGTGAGGATGCAGCCATGGCTGACCTTCATGAGTTCGGTCTGGGGCTGAGAACCTCAGTATTCAGCTGAAGAAATGGCCACGCGGGCCCGGTCAAGAGTCCCGACTGATGAAGAAGCAGCAGCTATTGCAGACGAGGCTGATCAGATCGCTGGAGAGCAGGGTCGCCAAAATGGAGAAGAGTGATGCGAGTGCTCTAAATGTTGTTCCATACCGATTAGATTCGCTTAGACTCCAGTAGCCTGCCACATGGTGATGTTTTGGTGCGAACTTGGAATATTTCGGACTACTCAATTGGAGAACAGTGCAGGCTCTTTGAACCACGGGCACGACTCTTCGCTCGCAACGCTATGGAATCTGAAAGTTCTAGGTCCGGGAGCTGTTCGCTGTTTTGTCACTTGTCACGGTTGTGCACTCATCGCTGTAACATAAAAATAATGAGGCGGGTGCGGAAAACTAAAATTTTCTTTCTCAAAGCACAACCACCGGCACCGGCAAGGAGAAACGCACGTTCTCTGACTACATGACTGTACAATACGACTGATACGAGTGTAGTACATGACAAGTCCGTGTGTTGACTAGTTTTCTGAGTCTTGTGTCAGTTGTGACTGCACTACAGCTAGATAACACACTGCACGCACTGCATGCACGCAGCGCAGAGCGCGTAGACATGGTAGAGGCTGACGGAAAAGTCCAACTCGGAAACGGCTATAATACGGTATAACCTCCAGGTTTACCGAGCTGAAAATCACAGGATACGTAGTGTTTGTAACACTGAATCGAATGGTCTTGGTCCGAAGAAGCTGCGACAAACGGTTCCCCAATCGAACGCGCTCCGAATATGGCCATTTTGTACACAACTAGATGGTGTGGCTACCTGGCTGCACGCTGTGACGTCATCACCTGGATCTGGGTGATGCGCGCTCAAATTCGCACATGTTCGATTGGGCGTATCTGACGAACCATAAGCCGCAGTCTCCTCGGACAAAGACCATTCGACTCAGCGACCCGAACTCTACGGACTGTGAAATTTAAATTTTTCACCGGACTTCCCCTTTAACCGCACACATCCGTTTTCCACAAAATATCCGGATAGGCGAGGGAACCGGATACTAGTAATAAAACACACATACTGTATGTATGCATTCCATATGCTGTAAATCGGTAACCAATGATTTTCTTCCGGATGGCGAGGGATCCGGATAAAAGAGGACCGGGTAAGCGAGGTCTGAGTGTATCACATCAGTCAGTTTTGTGCTAAATGTTGCGCATTCTGACTCACCATTATCTTGCTTTTAATCATTAGTTTTGGACTAAACGGATAACTTGTAAACTTATGGTCCTCTATTTTTTTCTTTTTCTTTTAGTCAATCCGTGGGTCTCCATCCGAGTTTAGTAGCACTGATAAGCACTTCTCCTTGTGAGAAGGCACCATTGCCTGTTTGCTTGAACGACTATAAATAAAAGCACAACAACGACAACACCTTTCCGCAACACTTTGTTGGTGTGTGCCTGGTTCACAGATACGCATCACCCGCGTGAACGGATCATCCCACGTCGACACGCTCCGCTTTTGGCAGACGATGATGTCGTCCATGATGGACCAGTGCTCTCAGCTGGGGCCCAGCAGGTGTTTGAAGGTACAGTCATGTGATGCATGTCAATGTTCTCCTACTGTACAGGCAGAAAATTTCGTTGGTCAATAATGTCGTCCAACTCCAAAGAAAGGGAGGTCGTCCGGTTCAAAATCTAGTCCATGGACCACAAGAGTGTCTTGAAAAGCTGGACAAATCGACATTAGTTCGGCATTTAATTTAGTCCAAAAGTTCCTTGGACGAAAAAGACGAAATTAAATTCCAGACGAATATTTTCTGGTTGTACAATATGCCAGCTGATACAATTTGGACTCTCTGAGGTCATTATTTTACAGTGCTGCTGATCATTCACGTTACCTCACTCTACACTGGGTTTGTTCTCTATGCTTTTTGCGTCAGGTTCGCTATGAAGATTTGGTGCAGTCGCCGCTGACCACCACACATACTATCATGGACTTCTTGCAGTTGCCATGGTCATCAAACTTACTCCGCCACCAAGAGCTGGTGGCCGCGGGCAATGTTCTAATATCAAAGTACGTTGGTTTGTACCGCTTTTCACAGCTTGATGTGTGTTTGTGTGTGCGTGTGTGTGCGTGTGTGTGTGTGTGTGTGGCCGTGTGTGTGTGTGTGTGTGTGTGTGTGTGTGTGGCCGTGTGTGTGTGTGGCCGTGTGTGTGTGTGTGTGTGTGTGTGTGTGTGCGTGTGTGTGTGTGTGGCCGTGTGTATGTGGTGTGTTGTGTTGGGAGGGAGGGGGGGGGGGGGGGGGAGGGGGTTGCGGGTTGCAGTGGGCAAATACGCAGTTGTGCATTATGTCCACCTGGATACGTTGGTCATAAATACAGACTTATCGTGTGCAGTTTGCTGTTGCCTCTCCGCTTTCTTCCTATTTGCTGTCTTCGTGCAGACTGGAACCATCCAGCGATCAAGTTGCCGAGGCTCTGCACACGCGAGCACTGCAGCGATGGAGAGACGGGTTTCCAGCGGAGGTGCTGCGCAACGCCGCACAGCTGGCGCCCATGCTCAAGGAGCTGGGATACGCTGACGATCTGCTTCAGCCTGGCGGCGGCGTTGGCGGGGGAAACCTGTGAGCAAATCGATGGCGCCATCGCTGGAAGCAGTGTGTAGCCTATCCATGATGGTGGTCATCACTAGCAGTGGACCGCAGGCCTGCCGGAACCCGTCCGGTTCGTCTGGCCATGGCCAGCCCAACCTTTTTTTGGCCATCAACGTATGTTTACTGCCGAAGAGGTGATTTGTATACCCTGCATATCATGCACATGTAGGAGTACAGTGAATCTGGCGGTCTAAGACGACCGCTCAAGGGACCGTTCACAAGTGACTGGAAATAGCATCCCTCGGTCCTAGTTTCAGTGGTCTTCTACGACAGGTGGTCTTCTAAGACAGGTGGTCTTCTACGACAGGTGGTCTTCTACGACAGGTGGTCTTCTAAGACAGGTGGTCGCCTTGACAGGTTTTACTGTAAGAAAGACTAGGATATGGAGGACCAATCAAAAACTGCTTCCGCCCGTCCTGTGTGGCCTATCCATGATGAAGGTGATCAAAAGATTATAAATGGGTCGCCAGAACCCGTGGCTGATGACTAAAGTTAATCCGTGATTGGTAAACTACCTTCTCATGAGCAGATGAGCAGCGGCTGTCTCTCTGAGCTGCTCACGTCGGCCGCTTCACGCCCATGCTGAAGAATAAGTCAGCTCGCAAGCAAGCAGTCACTGTGTTCTCACCAGATAGACACGGCAGAATAATGACGATAAGGGATTGTGATTGAACATCCCGTATCACTCACTATTCATTTTGGTCTTCTCTCTCTCTCCCGAGTCGTGTTTGTGCGGCGACGACTGCAAGACCAGTGCCCCGCCTTGGTGTCCCCTCAACCTTGAACCTTCCGAGTTGGAAGACTGTTGGTTAGCGCCTCAGAGATATGCTGGAGCTAGATGTAGGTGTCAGGGCGTCGAATGTCTCAGCACTGTGTCAGGTTTGTGCTTAGTTGCTGCGCTTTCTGACTATATAATACTCGAAGTAATTTTATTCCTGTAGCTATGCAGAAGACGCTACTTCAGTAACGTCTGGCGCTAGCCAGGGTCCACACAGCTTTAATTTGGTATTTGTTTGTTTGTGTCACGCCTGGCGCTATCCCGTATCTGTCCCGTACCGTATCGTACCATCAAACACAGCTGGCCACAATATTTGCTGGCTCCCATATCTGTCCCGTACCGTACCGTACCATCAAAGACAGCTGGCCACAATATTCAAATAGGGCTTTCAAATGCAAGATCATAACGTGAAGCAACTTGGAAGAATGAGTATGAATGCAAAGTGTATCGGGTAATGCATGTAGGGTGATTGTGCGGGTTCGTCCCAGGTTTAATATGCCTTGAAAAAAAAATAGGAGAATTGAAAAATTTATAACAACCCTATGCTTTTTTGCCTAGGTCAAGGTGCACCGGTGGTAGACGGTGCCGCATCACCCTCGACCGTACCTGTCCCGTACCGTGCCGTACCATCAAAGACGGCTGGCCACAATATTCAAATAGGGCTTTCAAATGCAAGATAATAACGTGAAGCAACTTGGAAGAATTAGTATGTATGCGAAGTGTATCGGGGGATGCATGCAGGGCGATAGTGCGGGTTCGAATCCCAAGTTATGTCGTGAAAAAAAAGGAGAAATGATAAATTTACTATGCTTTTCTTTGCCGAGGTACTAGGTCATCAAGGCCCAAAAAAGCATAGCGTAGGGCCCAGAGCTTCCAAGCTCTCTCGTTATTGTGCACTCTGGCAAGGTAAATTCGGGCCTGGTTTATTTTTCATTGCTATCAGGTTCGGCCTCATTTCCTCTGTGCTGCGCTGACGAGTCCACAAAAGACGAAACAGTTCTGTCCGCAGCTTGAGGACGACTTATTTTAGTTACAGTGGTGGACAGTTACTCATAACCAGAGAGTAGTACCCAAACTGGTTTGGGTAAGCCTCCCGGCTCATAAGGGGCCGTCCGTAAATATCAAACTGTCTTCATCCATTCTTCATCAAACGAATTATTTTAGTTTAGACCCAACCCCTCCCTCCCTCCCCCTCAGAACGTAAAAAATCTTGACATACAACAAAAGTTGCAGGTGTGTCACTGCCCCAACGGCCATGTACATGTATCAATGTTTTCTAAAACGAAATTGGTCAACCTTCTTCCCCATGGGCCCACCCCATAACGGAATTATTTCATTTTGTGAAAGAAAGAAAAAAGCAATTACGGACGACCCTTAAGTCCTAACTCATACCAATTCGTCCCTTTCCTCTTTTACACTTATCACTGGCTCAACATCCGATTTGACATTTATTTTTTCATTATCAGGAGATGCACTTGTTCACATCCCAACACTGCAGACATAGCGGGAAGGGTGGTTGAATTCAATACCAGACAGGAGACCAGAGGCTGCTCTGAGCAACAATGAGCACAAGAGCGCATGGGTTTGTGCCTTTGTGGGGCTCACCTGACCTGGCACCAGTCTTGGAGTCTTAGTCACACAAACTTACTCCGGGGGGGGGGGGGGGGGGGGGAAGACAGAAAACAAATAGTGAGCGATAAGGGGTGCTCAATCACACTATTCTGTTACGCTGGCGTATCTGAGCTCTGCATAAAATCAACTGCGATGACAGCATAACGTACTAGAGTACTCGTGGCTGGTCACAATGCACTCCTCTACACCATCAGGGGTAATCTGCGGTGACCATGGTGACCAGATCACCCCGTACGCAGCCATAGGAAAGCAATGACGTCGGTGTGTGGATTCCAGCCCTACGCCCACCAAACACAAGCCAATGCTGACTCCACGGAAGCACAATGCACATGAGCGAGCAACAAGCACGCAACGTGCCGTCACTCCACCGAATCTACAAGCATAACTCAGCGCGGCGAACACAAACGCAGAGAGAGAGCCAGAGATGCAGCAGTCCCTCATGAAATTGTTCATCTCACCAAACCCGTCACACTTCTTTAAATATATCTTTATTACGTGACATTGGTCGTCTTCAGTTTAGTCTTCATGATCTTCTTCATGACCTTGCGGCGCTTCGTCTCGTCTTGATGCCTCATCTTCTTCTTCATATGCTTGCGCTCTGAGTGCGTAAAGTGAATGTATGGTTGCTTGGGCTTGGTGTCTACTCCCATTGCCTCCTCACCCTTCACTGCACCAGTTGCTGCAGTCACCGCTGTAGATGGGAAGGAAAAGAGAGAAAGTCAATCCTTACAAGGCGGCGAGGAGACGGCAATTCAAGTAGCGCTATGACATTTAAAAAGTACCTGTGCTGTCATTTCTACGTACACATAAGCACCCCCCCCCCCTACACACACACGCAGAGCAAGGCAGCTTGTTTATGAATCCAGTAGATTTCCATGTGACCTTCGTGAGTGGAATTATGATCAGAAACATGAAATAAGAATCCTACCAAACGATCGAATTCGATCGTTTGGTATACAGTGACATTAAAATAATTATATCTCTGGTGTTCCTTCGCCGATTTTCATAAACAAAGTATCTACGTTTCGAGAAGACCCTTGGCTATCACGTCGAAGTTATCCGAAGTCTCTAGGAGTTACGATGCCGCCGTGGTGAGACTCGAAGTCGGAGACAAACTGAAAAATGCACTCAGATCGAAAAATTCAAAATTTCACGCTGCACTTGGCAGGAGATTTCCCCGGAATGGTATGTCATACTTAAGCATGCTGCACACCAAAACTTTGCGCTTGAAACGAGCTTTCCGCTGTAGTTAGTTTGAAGACGATGCGATGAAGGAGAATGGAATGGCGGCTGTTTGAACTTTGCTGAAGCTGTTCGCGCACGGCTGCTGTTTTGGGCGGCATTATATGCCACGCAGAGCAGAGGCTGTGCAGGTAGTTGGCTTGAGTGTGGTACTATTCTCTTCGTCTTGGAAATACCTTTCCAACGGTGGTTAGTTTGTAAAAATCGGTGAGTGTTTCAGAGAGATATGAGCGAAAGTGCATGTTATTTGAAGGTGCGTAAATTGTCGTACTTTCAGTGGGGCCTCAAAGGGTTAATGTCAAATCCTTAGTGCTCAATGGTTGCCAAGGTACTAGAACACTCAGCACTGTGTGCAGTCACCATGGTAACCTCAGTGCTCAATGGTTGCCAAGGTACTAGAACACTCAGCACTGTGTACAGTCACCATGGTAACCTTTGTGCTCGACGGTTGCCAAGGTACTGTAGAACACTCAGCAGTGTAGTTTAGCAAATTTAGGTCTGCGCCTGCTAAGGGGGCGCGCGAATCAGGCCACTTCCTGGTCACAACGGACACTTCGACAGTTAGCGGCAATGATTACTTTACACGTTACAGTTAGAAAGATTCGGCAGACTACATATGAACAAGAAATAAGTACAGGGGCAAGGAGCCATGGAGAGAGATTGTCAGGAAGAGAAAGGCAAGCTGGCTGGCGGCAACCGTATGCAAAAGTGAGGTTCGTGGCATACGGTACGCCAATATGCTAACGTACGCTAAAGCCAGTGCTTCCAAAAACATAGCGGAAAGTGCAGCGTGGGCAGCACAAAAGCCACGTGGGTGACTGTGAGAATTATGACGTAGCAAGTCGTAGCACGACATCAGCAAGAGGTACCATTGAGTGTGTGTGATCCCCGGCAGCCGAATCGGTAGGGCACTGTCCCGGAAAGACAGGGGTGCTGGGTTCGAATTCTGCTCGTGGATCCTTCTTTTGCAACATTGGCGCCCAACGTGGGGCTCGAAACCACGACCCACTGTGTGCAGTCACCATGGTAACCTTTGTGCTCAACGGTTGCCAAGGTACTAGAACACTCAGCACTGTATACAGTCACCATGGTAACGTAACCAACAGTACATGAACGGCAAAGTGTGCAGATTGTAAGTGTGCAATCACGCATTGCAGTCGTGGTGAAGTTCCTTGATGACATCATGTTGGTCATGCCACGCATAAACCCTGTGGAAATGTCGCCAGGAACCTACAAGATATGTAGTAGCAAGAGTACATGAAAACCAGAGTGTGCAGCTTGGGGCCTTTTCTGCTATGGGTGTCTGTCACGGCGGAATTCCGTGATTACATCATCTTGGCGCAGATCTGAGGCGGGAAATGGCGTAGTGCGTACAACTGAGCTGCAGTTGTGCAGAAAGAGACCTGCTTGAATCCTGCTTGTACGCACTACATCACTAAAATGATGTTATCACGGAATTCCGCCGTGACAGCAACCCACCCGAGCTGCACACTCTGGTTTTTATGTACTCTTGGTTGTAATGACTAGTAGTAGCAAGAGTACATGAAACACAGAGTGTGCAGCTCTGATGGGTTGCTGTCACGGTGACATTCCGTGATTACATCATTTTTAGTGATGCAGTGCGCACAAGCAGGATTCAAGCAGGTCTCTGTAACTAAAGACCACCGTGACTAGCGACCAGCCTGGTACTACGGACAGTCTCACATTCATATACAGTCAGTTGATTTTGAGCATTTTATCACTATAAGCGATATATTACCATGACCGATACTGCATGCAATGTATGCGAGTAGGGTGTCAAACGACTCAGCGCGCCATGCACATACGCACTGCATAGCTGGCTACAGCTCGTGACACACATCAGCACTTCCTCACGGTGGAGGCATATTTGGCAACTAAGTTGTACGAGCAGAACTCACCAAACAACACTGGACAAGTTCTTCACGAAGAAGTAACACCCTGTTCTCCTCTGACACCACTTGATTTTACATCAATCACTATATTAAACCGATGCAAAAATAATGTAATATAGGTCTTTTGAAATATGAATTCGATCACTATAGACGATTATTACTATACGCGATAACTGTGTATACTTAGTTATGGCAAATGAAAATGAGAAGTTGATCACTATAGCCGGTATATTACCATAGCCGCCAACCGTATAGGCAATACGGACTGTATGGTTGAGCGGTGCAAACCTCTTACCAAGGACCACCTGCTACTAAAGACCGCTTTCTCTGGCCCCAAGGGGTGGTCGTTAGTCACAGGTTTTACTGTACCTGCTTTGAGTAGAAGCCTAGCCCTGACATCGGCTTCTACAGTAACACTCCCGGCTTTAATACACGACCAGGGAATTTTCTAGAACCGCCCCAACCGGTTTTCGACCGGTTGAAATTGTTGGCGACCGGTTGAAAAGTTGCAAATCAGTTCCAACCGCCCGTACTTTTCTGTGGGTGAATGGAGCTGTCAATGGTCAAACGCGTCAAATTGCTGTCGAGTGCCGTATTTGGGTTGTATTTTGAAAAAATTTCCGGGGGGGAGCCCCGCACCCCCCGACTCTTCATTGGACCGTAACCGGTTGGAAATTCGTCCTAGAATATACCCTGAGTCGATGTAACAGTAAACCAAAGCCTGCAACTCGGCCAGGGGCGCCGGCAGGGGCGCCGGCTAAAGCTTACTGTAGAACGGGTAATTTTAGCGTTTTCCCATTGTCAAGCGGCTTAGTGGGATGGTCTAAGACCATGATTGAGAAACAGAGGGTACCAGGTTCAAGTCCTGCTTGGAAGCGGAAGGATTTTTTCCAGCCGTGCTGCGACCCACAGTTAATTGGGAACTCGTGGCCTGGCACGAGGAAAACATGGATGCAGTAAATGGGATTTTCGGTCTTTGACCACTTGCTGGTGAGCTGATCTACTCACCTCCCACCGCTTTAGGAGCTGCATCTGCGCCTTGATCCTTGAAGGGTGGTGGCGTTCCTACGGATGCGGAAAACCCGGCTTCCAGCCGAGTCTCACGCGAACTGTGAAATTTTTTAGCGACGTTTTATTTTAGCGATTTGCAGCGATTTTACTCACGGATCACCGGTGCACCACTATGTCTCAACAGATTAGCGACTTGAATCTTTAGCGAAAATGAGTCGATCGCTAGATTCGCTAGGGTTTTTACGTCGCTAAAATTACCCGTTCTACAGTACTTTGTCGTTTACGTCGTTTGTGACGTCGACACACAGTGGAAAGGTATGCTACTGTCGTGGACATGGAAGTCCGGTCGCACGTCTAGCGGCCCCAGGACGCTGGCCATGCAGCCGTGGATAAGCGGTACACGCATGCATTTATGCGCTGTAGCGCGCTGGTCGCATCGGATCAACATGTGCACTGCACGCAGCGTTCTGTACGCGCTGAGGGCGCCGGCCCCGGTCAATCGACTGGATTTCCATGTCCACGACAGTACAAGTCGCAGCGATGCAGTACAATCGTGGATGGCTGTGGCTTCCACGACTCGTGAAATATGATGCAAGCGACGAAATTTCGCTGTCCATAATTCATACTGGCATGCACACTCTGGCTTACATGTCTACAGAAAGGGGAACAACAACTTTATTTCTGTGAATTGGAGCTTCACGCGCAAAAGATCTTCATCTGCCTTTAATTAAGTTTACTACTCTTTATACTGGTCAGTGAAGTGTTCAACAGCTGCTGCCATGGAAACATTATAATTATAATGTTATGGTTGATTGGATAGCATGGCCTGCATTAGTCCATGATTCACTATGCATGCACGCACTAGCATACACAATGCGCTTGTGGATATTTTTTTCATATCCACACATGTCAGTATATTTACACGCGCGCGCGCGCGCACACACACACACACACACACACACACACACACCTCACACCTCAGACACACACACACACACACACACACACACACACACACACCATGTACGCGCGCACAAGAATGGCACAGACCGAGGCTCCGTTCATCAGCATTGCTGACATGAAGAGGCAGTGCACAGCTAAACATACGTACCTGGATCAGGGACAGCCATGTCTTCATCTTTTACAGAAACACTCTCAACGGGCATCGCAGGAGTGTCTTTGGAGTTCAGGACTTTTTCCAACTGTTCTCTGCGCCATGTCGAACGCTTGTCACGAATGGCGGCGCGGTTTCGCCTCTCCCGCTTGCTCCGTAAACCTCTAGCCATTTTATTTAGATATCGGACGTGCTCAACACAGACGAATGAAAAAATGAGAAGTAACTAATACTTTTAGTTTACAATGAGAATGCACATGAGAGAATAGGCATTCTTGATTGAAGATCGCATGCATGCACGCGCGGCATGGCATGGCATAATTTTCGTGAACAAAAAAGCGTGAAAATCATTGAAACTTTACAAATAATTATTATTATGAAGGATTGATATGGCATCAGGGAGTCGTAAAATACCGGGTATTTTACGACTCCCTGATTGGCATGCGTAGTACTAGTATTGCGTACGCACGTTGACACAATAGTGACGTCATCTCTAAATCAAAAATTCAAAATGGGCCATTTCTGATTTTTAATGAATACACGTACACAGTCATGTACTGTGTACAAAATCAAAAAGTTGTAGTACTCGTTGCTGGCCGCAACAATAGAATTACCGTATAAATAACCACACAGCAGGGCAGGGGTTATGCCTTTCCATTATCCTGTACGTAGGTTATTTGCACAGTATGCAAAATTAATAACGATTCTAAGCATCACAACAAATTTCGTGATTTGGCCCAAATCCGCAATTTTCTGCCGCGAGTTCCTGGCAAGTTCCGCATCTTTCCGCACTTTTCGCCGCTTTTGTTGTTGTTTTCTGCCACAATTTCTTGCGCAAGTTTTCGAGGATTTTTTCCGAAATTCCCGCAGGGACAGGGGCCCAATCAGGGAGTCGTCAAATGCTCTCTGATTGCTTCTGCCTTCGTTCTGCCACAACACACACAGCTGCCCGTACACGTTCCCAGTCCATAGATTCACTTGCTCTGCCTAAAGCACGCAATCGTTATGGCTTATTCGCTTTGAGCTTTCTGGCTTCTGACCGTTGGAATTCTCTTCCAGCTGACATTCGCTCATGCTCCTCGCTTTCACTATTCCGCAAATCTGTACGTGATCACATAGGGTACCCTGTAAAAAGGCCTTAGGCCTGTGGGGATTGCCCTATTCAAAATCTAAATAATAATAATAATAATAATAATAATAATAATAATAATAATAATAATAATAATAATAACGACTCCTTGGGCCCAATGGGCATGAAACTATTAGTTGCAACGAATGATGTGTGGTGCTCTGTGCCGTGTTCGTCCGCCAGACCGGTAGAAAATTTTAGTCCAGGGACCATTATTGAAAACCTGTAGAAACCGACGTTTATACTTTATAATAATCATGATAATAGTCCGGCATCTCATCGCGATACCGTTATGAAATGCCGGACTAACGTTAGTCGGTTTCTCCAGGTTTTCAATACGAAGCCAGCAGTAGTGTGTGTGTGTGTGTGTGTGTGTGTGCAGCCCAAATAGCTGCCATCATCATGCTGAGGACTTGCAAGCTGAGCGGGTTTACCAGGGAGTGCTATCGTTGCCACCCCATTGCTGGCTAAAACAGGCTGGGAATACGCAACGTGCTGTGAGCAGGGAGCCCTACACATAGTGTAAACAGTCATGTACCAGTATGTGTAGGGATCCCTGGATGTGAGTGGTTGCTGTCAATGGACCCCATACGGCATCCAGATTAGCACACTTTTTTTGGAAGCTTATTTTACTCTTGGTAATGCGGAGAGAAGACCTGCATACCACACAGGCCAGCCGTAGTAGAAGGATACACACGCACACACACACACACACACACACACACACACACACGCGCGCATGCACGCACGCACACACACACACACACACACAATACGTTAGTCTCCGCAAACTTACTTCTTCCACGACTATATTTCAAGCAAAAGCAGGGAAGGCGCCGAAGCAAACACATAGTGGAGGCTTCACCGCGGGCACACGTGCGTCAAGCAATCTACAGCATGCAATCTACATATGTGCACCAAGCAATCCACTGCATGCAATCTACACACGTGCAGTGCTCCCAAGACACCACCGCCGCCGTTCACCACTGCTTTATTATAATTATATTACCAACGAGGAGCACCAGGCCATCTCAGCGGCAGCACAGGCCGTGTGCGGAGCCAAGCAGTTACCAAACCCAAGGGCTGCTGGCAGCCCAACAGAGCTAAGGGCAGGCACGGGCAAGAACATGGTGGGACAGGCAACATGCTGCTGCTACTGCTGATATCGCTTGCTTTGGCTGTTACTCAGTGTGCACCTGGCTGCATTCTTCATCAGCGGTCGATTAATTCAATTCTATAAAAGCGTCATGTTCAGAGTCATCATTGCAATAGATTGAAAAGAGAAATGTTGTAAGCGGAGTGGTATTGGTGTCGGCAGAGCTAAAGAGGTGTTGTTAAAAGAGGGACGATGTTGGTGGGGTGTTTACTTCATCACTAACTGTTCGTCCTCGGGTACTTCGTCGAAATCGTCGGCCAGAATCTCCGTGAAGACGCCAGTGGCGATGGTCTTGCCGCTCTCTCGCACCGTGAAGCGCTGTCCTTCCTCTGCCATGGCAGGTGCACGCAGGCGAACCACGGCCTCGATGTCCTCACCGCCGAGAACGATCTCCTGGTCTGCAGGGCAAAACGACGACGGCAACAACAACAACAACAACAACACAAAGAGATGATGAGATCAGAGCGCTCATGTTCGCAAGCACGAGCACAGACAGAATGACACGCACAAAAACACATAGGTGCAACGCAAAGACTTCAGGTTAATGGTGCAGGGGTAGAGTAGAGACAAGAGATGCATCGCCAATCTGGACAAGAGATGCATCACCAATCTGGACATAGTCATAATTGGTCCGTTCCATCGCAATTATCGCTTATCTCCCACACACCTTTTGACAGGTAAAACCCAGTCCGATCTTGATATCTAACTCACTTTCGTTTGGGAGGTTGTGATAGCAAGATCGAAGGAGACCAGAAAGAAAAAAAACTATCGTGACTAGCGCCAGTGGCATCGCGATTCGTACGACTGATGGGAAAGTGGGGAACTTTTCGCTGCAGTGAATGGACACATTCACTGCAGCGAAAAGGCAAGTGCAGTGCAGCTCAAAGACAGGAACTGTAGCAGGAGAAATCGACATCCTGACATGGAGAGCGTGACAATCACGGCCAGGCCAGCCAGCTCAGTCGCCACATTTGAACTGCAACGACCTGGCATTCTTTGCAAGCCTGCAAACTGATGCCATGGCGAGATGGTGGCAAAGAAGACAGTGTCCGACCTGGCAGGGCAGTAAAAGAGTTGTGGTCAGCGTACCCAGCAGAGCGTATGACAGTTGTCTGGAGAGGGATGTGTGCCTGATTCAAAGACATGGTTGAAACACACAGAGGTGACACACGGGTCACGCCGCCCACGTTCCTCATCAGCGAATGTCAGCTCGAGTGATACAGAGCCAGAGTCGGACAAACTAAAACGCGAGTGCAAGAATGCGCTCCGTCGCTGTTTTCTTTTGTACATTTTTTATAACCTTGCTTCCTTTCTTCGACTTGCTTCATCAGATTCCATTGCTGAATTTTGTTCTTGTGGCGGACAGTAATCCTGTATCATGCTTCTTCACTATGCGTATTGGAAGCTTTACAGAGCATTAAAAAAAAATCGTTCTTAGTGGCGATAGATAAGCGACAATTGCGATGAAACGGACCAAGTAGGTTTACTGGAAAGGGTGAAGCAGTTAGCTGCTCGGAGACTGAGCAGTTTCACTGGGTGTAGGATGATAGAAAGGAGACATGCAGATGAAAAATCAAGACAGACACACACACGGAGAGAGAGAGAGAGAGAGAGAGAGAGAGAGAGAGAGAGAGAGAGAGAGAGAGAGAGAGAGAGAGGGAGAGGGAGAGGGAGAGAGAGGGAGAGAGATAGATAGAGATAGATAGACACCCACCCACAAAGGCGCACAACAGAAACAGTGATCCAGGACTAACCATCTTGGAACTTGAATTTGGCAGCCATTGATGTTGTGCTGAAGAAAAGCAACCCCGAAGTTGTCTTTGTCATTGGCTTGTGACGACCTCCCTCTTCCTTCTTCAACACATAGATCTGCATGGGTAAGCAAGCACAACAACAGGTGAAAAGGATTCAAAATATATCATCCATTGAGATCTCTTCCAGGATTAATGTAAACCATGTGTGCATGTGTGTGTGTGCATGCAAATCCACACCGCCAATCTCACCTTGACTCGGGCAAACTTGACAGACTTGTAGCTGTTGGGCTTAGCCAGCACCATTCCACGACGAACCTCTTCTCTCTTGAATCCTCTCAGTAGGGTACCCATCTGATCACCAGCCAGACCAATGTCCAGGTTTTTGTGGAACATTTCAATACCTGTTGTTACAGACCAAATGTAGAGCAACAACCATACAGAGAGAGAGAGAGAGAGAGAGAGAGAGAGAGAGAGAGAGAGAGAGACACGGAGGGAGAGAGAAACAGAGAAGCATCAGAGGTGTACATAGTGTCAAGAGTACTTTAATTTCAGAAATTTTCGGTGCTCAATATTTTCGGTATTAGGGCAAAAGGCCAGGTTTATAAATATAGCTGAACAGAAATTTTAGGTACAGAGAAGCAATTCCCTGTTGGATTATGTGTGTTAGTGTTTGTTCGGTGTATCGAAATTTTAGGTATGAAACAGACGCACCGAAAGTACCGGAAATTGTGAAATTTCAGTACATAAACTAGAGTGTGCAACTCCGGATGGTTCATGTGGGAGTGTAATCCATGCAGTACGTCATTTCTGACGGCATGGTAAGCCGCAGGTACGGTGAAAAGTTGCGCAACCAGTCGCGGTGGTGCAGGTCACTGAGTTTGTCCTGATTTCGTTTTTTGATACGGATAGCCTGGTGACTTTACTTGCCAGCAGATGTGCGCAGCGTACGCAGTCACACAAAAATACCGAAGTCCTAAAACAGGACGTCTAAAATAAAGCAACCTTGGCTGATTTCCGGGCTGTGAAACACGAAAATTTGAGCTGTACGCTAGTCGCGGCTTAGCTGACCTCGTCAGGGTGACGTAGTGCACGAACTGCGCTGTCTCAGACCTGATATGCACAGCTGCACACTCTGGTTTATGTACTTGTGATAGTGTACATAGTGCACACAGGAGGCCACAGAGAAATGCACATAATCCTGCACCACACACACTAGTCTGTGTACTACTCAAACACAACGCTACCCTATCCATATTCATGAGGTTGAGTCTTACCAGACTTGGATGGAGAGACAAGGATTAAAATTGAAAGAAACGGACCAACATGTTACATGTTTGAGTTTTACTGGCCAGCATCGGCCTGGAGGCTCAATTGCTTGGAATCATGGGGCTACTCTGCAACACCCAGGAGTCTGAGGACAACCCCACACCAGGTAACCGTGTCAGGAGAGACTGACACAACCCCACACCAGGTAACCGTGTCAGGAGAGACTGACACAACCCCACATCAGCTACAGTGAAACCTGTCTGAGATGACCACACAAGGGACCTTCAAATGTGGTCTCTGTTACCAGATGGTCTTTTTATCCAGGGTCATTTGACTGGAAATAGCATCCCTTGGTCCTGGTTTCAGTGGTCTTTTAGGACAGGTGGTAGCCTTATCCGAGTGGTCGCCGTGACAGGTTTTACTGTAACTGTGTCAGGAGAGACTGATACAACCCCACACCAGGTCACGTCGACTCAGATTGCCACAACCCCACACCAAGTAGCTACCGTATATTCTCTAATACAAGCGCCGTGCTTATATTTTTTCAACACCCCTCTACCCCGTGCTTATAATAGAGACCGTGCTTATATTGGAGACCGTGCTTATATTTTTTCAACCAATATATCCATACAGAGCCAGGAGAAATATATGACGGATATCATGCATGCAACACAGAATTCCACTCCGAAAGAAGTGCCAACAAAGAGAAACGAACACACACTTGCACAGAAACAAGGAAGATACCAGGTACGTGGCAGATGTCATGCATGAAAAAAACACTGAATTCAAGCCGACACGCACACACTCACACAGAGCGCGCGCACACACGCACACGCATGCACACACACACACACGCACGCACACACACACAAAGAATCAAGTTTCGAGTCCAGTTTCAGTTTAAAGATCACAGTCGTCATCGTCGTCGTCGTCATCATCTTCCCCACTCTCCCTCTCACTGCAACTTTCTCCTCCTTCCAGCACCTCCACAACCATCATCTCCTCTTCTCGCTCGTCATGCTCTTCCTCCGGTACAAGTACGGGCTCAGAGATGGTATGGCTGCTCGACTTGGATTTCAGAACTTCCATACCATCGGGGATGGGACCATTCGGCTTGAAGCAATGGATCTGGTCATCCTCCAGTCCATGTAAGTCGTTGGTGATGCCACACGCCTTGAAGGATTTCTCAATCAAGTCGGTGGAGATGCCGTCCCATGCATCCACAACCCACTGCAGGTACGTAGCAATGGGAGGTGGTCGGGGATTGCCGCCGCGGGTAACCTCCTTCTCCGCATCACTGGCCATCCAATCCTCGTGTGCTCGCGAAATGGCAGCCTTGAACGGTTTGTTCCACGACACGTCTGGAGCTTGCACATACTTGGTGCAGCCACCAGGAACAACAGCACTGTGTATTTTAAGCTCCGACATGACGTTTTTGGTGTCTTGCGAGATATGACATCTAAAAGAGTCCCAAACGAGCAGAAGTTTGCCGAATGCCAGGGGCCCAAGCACGCGACGCAGAAAATCCTCAGTGAGGACATTGTCCATCCACACTCTCCCTGCCCAGGACAGAACAAGGCGGCCTGAAAATTTGGTTACGACTTCAGGCAATGGTTGCTTCCGATTCAGCAGCACATACGGCTTACACTTCGTGCCATCCGCGCGTGCACACAACATTACGGTGATATGAACCTTCTCATGGCCAAGCGTCTGCACAGTTACGTCCCTAGCTCCACCACTCTCGATGCAGCGTTTACCGATGGGGTCGACCCACACAGCGGTCTCGTCACAGGCAAAGATGTTTCTCGACTGATAGCTGTGTTGTCGGCGCAGCTCCCGGAGGTACAAGACAAAATTGACAATTTTGTCGATTGAATCTGCTGGCGGTTTCTGACATGTCGTTGTCGTCGCACGCAGAGTCAGCTTATGACGACGCAGAAACTTTTCCAGCCACCCAATACTAGCTCGGAATTCTCCACAGTCTGGTAAGTCCTTCGCTATTTTCTTTGCTTGGAGTCGAATGAGGCGTCGAGAAACAAACTGACGCTGTTCACGCTTTTCGTGAACCCAATCCCGAACGCGATCATTCACCATCTTGAATCGAAGTGTCCGGCCACCACCATGTACTCGTTTACTGCTGCCAGATTTCGCAGCTGATTCGAGTTTCACCTTCGCCTTTCGCCATTCTTGTATCTGCTTTCTATTCACACCGAACTTTTTCGCTGCCGCTGAATTCGACACTTGCTCCGCAAACTTCACAGCTTCTAATTTCCTTTTCACCGGCACAGAGTTTCTCTTCCTAGTCTTCACAGAGGAAGCAGCTTGTTCATCCATCTCCGACTAACACACTTCGTGGCTACGCACAAGTCAAACTGAAAGGTAAGGAAACGACGATCCAACAAACTTCAGTTACCCGGTAGTTCCTTCTTTTATCAAGAGTCCTTGAACGGTTCATGTACTGACCTGTACTCTGTTCCTGCAAATGAACGCATTTGAACACTGTACACACTCGTAGTACAGTGAAGTAGATGCGCATCGTACGCGCGTGCAGTTTCGTGACGTCATCATGACTGCGCATGATCCGAAACCCACTCCAGTACAAGCGCTGCGCTTATGATAGAGACTGCGCTAATAAATTTTCAATAGGCACTCACAGTGCGCTAGTATTAGAGACTGCGCTAGTAATGGAGACCTGCGCTTATAATAGAGAATATACGGTATGTCAGGAGAGACTGATACAACCCCACACCAGGTCACGTCGACTCAGATTGCCACAACCCCACACCAGGTCACGTCGACTCATATTGCCACAACCCCACACCAGGTCACGTCGACTCAGATTGCCACAACCCCACACCAGGTCACGTCGACTCAGATTGCCACAACCCCACACCAGGTCACGTCGACTCAGATTGCCACAACCCCACACCAAGTAGCTATGTCAGGAGAGACTGATACAGCCCCACATATCTGACGGGGGCTACAAGCCATGAACACTAACCTGTGATGATTGTCTTCTTGGTTGGTCCATAGCCGATGATCTCGATATCGTCTCCCTTCTTGATCTGGCCACGCTCGACACGACCTATGCCGCCACAATGGCAACAACCAACAGCAAGAATAACACAACACACGTTGACAGTGGGAAAACAACTACATACTACAACTTCAGCACTACAGTACATTCATTGGAAACTGGCAACCGCATTGGACGAGAGGACTGATGATGAATAAGAGAAGAAGAGTGTGGCGAATAGGACTTCCAACTGGCCACAAAAAAAGCTGCCGAGTCGGCTACTTTGGCATCACCATGGTTACTGTAGCAATGGTATATTCCAGAATGTTTCAAAGCCAACGAGTTGACTCACATCTGGATGTTGACCGTGCAACCAAGGTATAAATACATAGATAGATAGAGAAGAGAGACACACAGAGAGACAGGGATAGAGACGCATACACAGAGAGAGAGAGAGAGAGAGAGAGAGAGAGAGAGAGAGAGAGAGAGAGAGAGAGAGAGAGAGAGAGAGAAAGAGAGGGAGAGAGAGAGAGACGCATACAGAGAGAGAGAGAGAGAGAGAGAGAGAGAGAGAGAGAGAGAGAGAGAGAGAGAGAGAGAGACTCTGTAAATAGACCTGGGGCGGAAAACTAAGACAGCAGCAGCAGCAACCGCAGACATACAACAGGAGGGGGCAGCAACAGCAGGCACACAACAGGAGAGGGCAGCAGCAACAGCAGACACACAACAGGAGAGGACAGCAGCAACAGCAGACACACAACAGGAGAGGACATACCGGTCACAACGGTGCCACGGCCGGTAATCGAGTGAGTGGACTCGATAGGCATCATGAAAGGCATGTCGATATCACGCTTCGGTGTGGGGATATAGTTGTCGACTTGCTCCATCAACTGGCCAATAGCTGGCTTGCCGTACTCGCCCTCTTCGCCCTACAGTAGCACATCAGAACAAGGGCACACAGAGAACAAACCAGACATTAGAGGACACTGGGAGCGAGTGTGCTGCGCATTCTGGAGACCGCCAATTCATCCCACTACGACCCGCGGCTGTGACTCGGCACACCTACATTGTACAACGTGAAGCCAACACCTTCCGACTTGGGAAGATTCAAGATGGTTTAGGGTTTATTAGAAAAGACACCAACGAGAGGAAGGTAAGTACAATGAAGATAAGCACAAAGCACAAGCCAAGCCCGGGCGCCATAACGACGTTTCTGTAGCCCCTGTCAGTTTTATGGCACCTTGCCGCATGGTCTGAGTGTACATTACTAGTACCTGGTTATATCATCTACACTGCCAGCCGGTTACTGAGAGAAAGCAAGAGAACGGAGTGTGCGTGTGTGAGTGAGTGAGAGAGAGAGAGCGAGAGAAAGAGAGAGAGTGAGTGAGAGAGCGAGAGAGAGAGAGAGAGAGAGAGAGAGAGAGAGAGAGAGAGAGAGAGAGAGAGAGAGAGAGCACCGCTGGGGTATCCATGCATTGTAAGGCTGGCCGTTTGCTCCGGGTGATATACAAGTTCCTTGAACTGTTGATCTCTGGCTACATTATAGTATCAGTGAGCCAAATGGCTGCGGAGAATTGATGACAAATAAGATAAGAAGAGTGTGGCGAATAGGACTTCCAACTGGCCACAAACAAGCTGCCGAGTCGGCTACTTTGGCATCGCCATGGTTACTATAGCACTGGTGCATTCCAGAATGTTTCAAAGCCAACGAGTCGACTCACATCTGGATGTTAACCGTGCAAGCAAGCCAAACATAGATAGATAGAGAGAGAGAGGACATACATTCAAGGCTTGGAGGGCAGCGCCATACACAAACGGCGTGTCTTCGCTGAACTTGTGGAACTCGAGCAGCTCGCGCATCTCCATCTCCACCTGAACATGAGGGAGCAGCAGCAGAAACCCAGCGATATATTAACAACAACAACAACTGCAACATCTCACGGAGCTAAGTGCCGTAAACCGGTAAATTTCGGTGGAGATTTATTTTCGGTGCAGGTAATTTTCACCTAAAATTCAACCATGCCATGCCACACAGTGTGCAAAATGCATTTTTGGGGATCTGGAAAACTGGTTTAGCGAAATTTTCGCCCAACCGAACCGTTGATTTTGAGAAATACCGAAAATATGACAGCACTGAGAATTCCCGGGTTTACAGTAAGTCAACCACTTCAGGCAGAATAGGTACGGTGCTGCTCAGTGAAATCCGATTGAGCGAGATTCAGCTTTGCGCCCTGCACCAGCGAGCATGCCAGTGTTCGCAGGTTGCATTGACTTGCTTGATCAGATTTCATATTTCAAATTATTATTATTTTTTTTATGAAAGTGCCTACATAGAATGGAAAACAACAACAACAACAACAAAGAACACAGTGGACTACAAAGGGCGTGTAGGTGCTATCAAGCTGGGCAGGCGAGGTGAAGTGCGCTCCCCCGGCCAATGGTCTCGGGATGAAGGCGACCACCATGCACCATGGGGGAGAGAAGAGAGATTGTGTGCGTGTGTGTGTGTGTGTGTGAGAGAGAGAGAGCCTGAGAGTGTGTAAAAGTGAGTAAGTGAATGCCAGATTAGTTCAGAAAGGGCTACGTGCCAAAGAGCTTTGGGCAGCACTGTACATGTACACTGCGGCAGAAGAAGTACGTACATGTATGTGTAGGCACCGTGCCCAAAGTAGACAGTCTGGCCAGCACCAGCACTTACCAGCTCAATCATTTCTTTGTCCTCAACGATGTCGCATTTGTTAATAAATATGACCAGGTGCTTGACTCCGAGCTGAAAAGAAAAAGAAGAAGAAAAAGGACATGAGCAACACTGTAAGGTAGAGTGCAAGTACCACCATCATATGCAGATGCACGTGTGCCCATGTTTCAGCCATTGCATGTACATCCAATGAACAGCAAAACAATAAGGAAAATGAGATGGAAAGTTGGACGGTATCTTGAATTTGAACCTGCCCCCTTTCGCGCAGTCGACATCTCGACATGGAATAGATGTGGCGAATAGGACTTCCAACTGGCCACAAAAAAGCTGCCTAGTCGGCTACTTTGGCATCGCCATGGTTACTGTAGCACTGGTATATTCCAGAATGTTTCAAAACTGGCCGCCATGATAACATGACGGGCAGTTCACATCTAGATGTTGACCGTGCAGACATGCGAGAAGGGGACTGATAGAGATAGATTAGACAGAGAGATAGATCAATAGAGACACATCCACCCACCCACAGAGAGAGAGAGAGAGAGAGAGAGAGAGAGAGAGAGAGAGAGATATCGAGAGAGACAGAAACCCATGGTTAACTTTCACGGAGCCGTACCTGGCTGGCCAGAAGCAAATGTTCCCTGGTCTGAGGCATAGCTCCATCAGTGGCAGCCACCACTAGGATGGCACCATCCATAGCGGCCGTACCTGTCAGCACAGACAAACACAAACACATGATGAAACCTTCAGTCAGTGACCGCTGCAACAAGGACGACGTCTACTAACTAAACAACTTGCAATCTCAGGCAGAGTGAACAGTTCACCGTGGGATGACAAGTTCAAGTGAAGAGCTGAGATGCAAAGCCCGATAAGCGCCACATTTGAGAACATCTATTTTCAACTCAGTGTAATCAGTAGGTCTAGTGGCACCACCAGGCAAAATTTCACAATCTGATAAGAACCTTTTCCAAACTGGAACCCAAATTTGGATTTACCGGTAGATACAAACCGCACATAAAATGGATCATTTTGGCCGTTATTCAAAGAGCGATGAAATGAATTTAGCGGGTTCTGCATTGCACCTCGTCAAGCGAATCACCTTCCTCAGCGCTGCCCCCCGAGTTGTGTAGATATTCGCAGGGCAAGATCACGAATGCGGCATTCATAAACGCTCATATACATCGGCATAATGGGACTGTGGCGAATAGGACTTCCAACTGGCCACAAAAAAGCTGCCGAGTCGGCTACTTTGGCATCGCCATGGTTACTGTAGCACTGGTATATTCCAGAATGTTTCAAAGCCAACGGGGTCGACTCACATCCGGATGTTGACCGTGCAACCAAGGCATAAATACATGATAGATAGAGAAGAGAAAAAGAAAAGAAAAGAAGAGAGAGAGAGAGAGAGAGAGAGAGAGAGAGAGAGACACACACACACACACACACACACACACACACACACACACACACACACACACACACACACACACACACACACACAGTATACGGACGTATGTGAAAGACATAGAGATAGATACATACAGAGTGAACAAAAATCCAGGAGGTGGCTACCGACCACCACTAACTACATTGCTCACCCGTGATCATGTTCTTAATGTAATCAGCGTGACCAGGACAGTCCACGTGGCAGTAGTGACGAGTCTCGGATGTGTACTCCAGCATCGTCTGGTTGATTGTGATGCCACGGCGCTTCTCTTCTGGTGCCTTGTCGATCTTGTCGTAGTCGGAGAACTTTGCGTGACCCTTCTCGGATAAATCTAGTTACAAAACAGGGAGTAGAGAAGAGACAGGAGCAGTCGCAATGGCGGAAGCAGCATCACCAGCATCGGTAGGAATATAAACTGATCAGTGCAAACAGCGTAACCCTCGAACGCAACAGTGCACAAAGCTCTGTCTTCAATATCAGGCAAGGCTTGATAGTTAAGGCAAGGGACCAAAGCACATGTGACTGTACATGTGACTGTACGGCTGACTTCAGTGTATACCGTGTGCAGACGTTTCCCGGGCCAACAGACCACACACAAATGTTTTGAGAAAAGAATCATCAGGCGGAGACAATGAGCAGCTGGACGGAGCAAGAGCGAGAGAGAGAGAGAGAGAGAGAGAGAGAGAGAGAGAGAGGTTCTTACATTTGGTGATTGCAGCGGAGAGTGTTGTCTTTCCGTGATCAACGTGTCCAATAGTTCCAATGTTAACATTGGGCTTGTCGCGTACATAATTTTCAACGAACCGCTTCGTCAATACAGATACGGCTGTAAGAAATAGTCAAACGAACGGCGGACATAAATAGTTATGAGACAGAAACAAAGAGTGAAAAAGGATGAACTGTGACCTCAAATCAAAAACAGCGACTCGCGCAACTGCACTGTGCTCTTACAGCTCGAGTAGTCAAACATGTAGCAAACTACACATTTCACTTATCCACTGTTTACCCTTTCTATGATCACACCTACGGCTCTGCTCACTGAAATCCAACCCCAAGAAAGACTAGCACTGGTGAGCTGTGCAGACACAGTATTCATAGGCACTTCAGTCACGTGACATGACCTGTCAAAAAGTGCTAACGCTGAATCGTGTACATGCGTGGCACCACGGAAAGGCGCATGCATAGATCGATCTGTAGCTGCACGGAAGCTGCGCAGGGCCTTCTCGTGTGGCGCAGCGTGTAGCTGAGGCCCTCAGCTTTCGTTTGAGCCCACATATACTATTCAGTCAGCTTTGTGAATAACGACTACGGGTACAACAACTTGCGAGTAAAGACACAATCTCCAGACCTAATCTGACCAGTTGACTGCATACCTTCAAGCTCGTGAATAATGACAACTCGCGTATAACGACGCACTTCCCATGCACAATCGAGGGTCGTTATTCGCAAGGCTGACTGTTGTATTACGAGCTCTGGGCTTCGTTTGGGTGCAGGTTTCCAAGTTGATCATCTGACCAGGGTTCTTGTTCCAGAACTTTTTTTAACCCCTTTAGCGCGAGCGTCGTACTAGTACGACGCACATGAGTTGCATGCCCCACGGCCGTCGTACTAGTACGACGCGCGCTGTACACTGTACAGTGAACCTGCATCTCATAGTCGTGTACTAGTACGACGCGCGCTGTACACTGTACAGTGAACCTGCATCTCATAGTCGTGGGGTCCGTGTTGAGTCCATAGTGACTTGTTCAAACTATCGTAACTCACTCAATACTTGGTCGATTCTCACAATCGAAACATGTATCTGCAAGAGAAAACTCTCAGCTGGCGATAGAAACAATCGCCGAAGCGATGCGACCACCGGTTGTTGAGATATGCGACTCGACACGGCAAATTTCAACTCGATTTTTTTGCGCAGTCTGCAGAACGCGTATTTTCCATCATGGATCATTTGTGCGCTACCTGCTGCCATGGAAACAAGATTCAAATGATGGTAGTGGATCCCGTGAGTCCTCACAAAAAATTTGAGCTCGATACGAGCAAGGAGACCGAAATGGCAGCTGAATATTTGAGCTTGGTTAGTCTTGGCCGTGCTCAAGTCTGTCGAGCGCGTGGATGAAGTTTGCCAGACTGTAGCACGGGGTTTTGGTTTCGCTCCGAGCTAGGTTTGACACCAGTTTGTCACTCGTATTAAGACCTTTCCAGGAAGCTCAAGATCGTGGAATTCGTCCAAGGGAAGGTAAAATTATCGATCCTTGAGCAGCTAGTACTTTCATGGGAAAATGCGACTTTTACAGGTGTTGTCGTGGGGCGCGCTCAGGTAGCGTCGCGCTAAAGAGGTTAAATGTTGTCAAGTAAAAATAGTATTTCCATTATTGTTTGTTGGTCAGTTGACCAGACGTATGAGTCTGTGTCTATTTGACGCAAATGTTTGTGTGCTAAGCCGAGTGTTCTTCGTTGAATCGTGTTGATGTCCGGCAATTCTTCAAGCCGTTCCATCCTTGGAAATGTATTTATCAGATGGCAGATGAAAAGTGGGCTACCATGCTGATATAAGAAGAGCTTCAAAAGGAATGTGCTATAAGAGTGACTGAGTCATGAGCACAATGTACGCGCTGTCTGAGACAACTATGAACCGATGTACATATTCATGTACATAATTGACGACTGTAGAATAATACTGCATGATAGAAGGGACATGTTGCTGGAAACGAAAGCACCCATACATACCTGGTGTTGCCGGCAGCTGGCCCTGTTACAAGCACCGCAGAACACGAAAGAAAGGAAAATCAATGCGACGATAAGCAAACTCTTCATGTACGTTGAACAATTCAGAGGAAACTGAGCAAAAATTTTACCAATAACTACAGCACTATAAAAATGCAAGAAAAGCCATTATCGAAATCCAGGAATATTCTATTTCAGCTAAACATTAGGGGTGCAAACAACACTTACCATTCTACTACGCAGGGCTGACTGCGTCAGCGAACATCCCGCACCTGCAAGCATATCGGGGATACGGGGAACAATCCCCACAGAAATATATCAATTTCTGCACTCTGACGGTCCAATATCTTCACAATGGCTGAGTATTTTGAACTTACGGCAAGATGTCCAGGCCAGCATGTCGACGTCTGTGTCTTTGGCAAATACTACTGGTTAAAGGAGGTTTCAGCGCTAACTAAAAAGCAAGGAGCAATAAACTCCGAGGCTGCGCTGAGCAACACAATCTTTCTCCAAAAATATGCCAACAGCAAAGCCACCCAAAAGTTCGACGAGGTCGGGTGACCTTGAAAAAAATACACGCATGCAGCCTTTGCAGAGTTTGCTATCTCGTTCAGATCGACCCCCGGCCCCGGATCGTAGCCAGCAGCTAGTCGGTGCCGCATGCATGCTGGGTGCGGCATTGTGCAACACTCAACACGAGCTGGGCGCGAGGTGGTGAGCACCCGCGGGCCGAGCTTGTAAGCCCCAAAACAGAGCAGAACCCTTGATTCGCCCTGCCTACACACAAGAAAAGGGCCCATAAGCCCATGGCCCAGCTGGTCATGTACCCACGTGACATCATCCCGTAGCGACCGATCCGGCGATCCCCCCTTCGAATGTTCAAGGAAAACTGCAACATGAAAAAACACACAAAGGCTTTCAACAGGAATGAAAGGAACTATTTTGAGCAAGCACATATCATTATTTTCTTATTTCCTTTGCTGTTGGTTCGCTACTTGATGCTTTTCGAGGTCAATAGCTTACAGATTTCTTAGGTTAGGCAGCTTTCAGGGTGAACATGGATGAAGGTATGTGACGGAATGAATGGGCCCAAATTGCAATTTATTTTTCGCTCATGGTGTCCGTTTGCGGTATCGAAATGTTTTGACTGACAATAGAGGAAGCGCAGATGCTGCGAGCACGGCTGCAGCATTTGGAGCTGATGCAAGCACAGCTTAGGCGAGACAAGGAGAGCGCGGAGAGGGACTTCGGCCACCAGAGGTCGAAGTTCAGAGACATTCTGATGATGCGGGAGAGTAAGTGGGCCAAACCTCGTTCTAGCAGCACACATCACTAGACCACGACCTGTGCCTAGCAGTAGCACACCTGTTCAGTGAAGACATGTGGTGAATTCATTGCAATTTGGACCTTGATTGTACATACGTCACACGCAGTGGCTGGATGCAATTGTGTACATGTATGTGTGTACAATTATGTCTATACAGTGTACCACGATTTGTGTACAAACTAGCAGTGTGCCCTATGAGAGAAGAATGGTTGATACCAGCAGACATACAGAGCTTACTCAGCCATCAGGGAGGAGAATGGAACACTTGCTTGAACTCCGAGTTTCATGCTTCTCAGACCCACCGCCGGCCGGCGTAGTGTGGTATTAGAGAGGTTCCGCACGACGTCATTGCGTTAGTAAAAAAAAAACCTAATGGATCTACGGAAAGTCTTGCGTACACTGCATGCGGATCCGTGTTTCGCCATACGCAGTTTTTGAATCACGTAGCTGCTCTTGGCAACTCCAAACGCGACAGTGTGCGACCTAGGGAGAGAGTTTTCATACCCCAGTCAACTTGCGGAGCACCTCCGTTAGTAGAGCTCCATTTACGTACTCTACGTTGGCAGCTTTCCGTAAGTGGAGTGCAAACTCGTGAATTCACTGGTTTCCCGCCCACTTACGTAAAGTTGCTCAACTTTACGTAGTGCGGAACCTCTCAATCCCTGAACGGCAGTGAACGGTCACGGACAATGTGGATCGCCGAGTCGTAACACGTTTCCTCTCTTCTCCCTGTAGTAGTACAGTGCATAGACAGGAGGGATTGTGGAGCCATACATGGAACATGATCCACATACTCCAGTAGGCATATGCGCATGTTGCCTGCAGTGGCTGATCCATGATTTTGATTTGTGTGTGTGTGTATGGGGGGGGGGGGGGGGGATTTCTGTGATAGTCTGGCAGCATAGACTTCTTAGAACTCAAGTACGTCACACAGACAATGGCGCTTAGGCCATTATCACACTGCGTTCTCCGACTCCCGTTTTCGTGTCATCAGACAGGCACAGCTCTTGACGCGTACGCGCAGTCACGTTTTTGGAGAAATTTCAAGGAGGTCGCTTGGAAAAAGGCTGGGGGAGATACGCACATTCATCCAAAAAAGTCGTATACCCCCCCCCCCCCCCCCCTCTCCCTGCCACGTCTACGTTTCCCGTTTCCTCTACTCCTGTTTTCACTCCGTACATGGATCATCATGACAACCAAACGAAAAACTCCGTATAGGGTATTCACACGACGTGAAAATGAACGAAAACACGTTTGTATAAAAGTGGACAAGCTGCCCATCGGATTCACACAGACGACAGACCTGTGCAAATCTCGTACTCATGTATCTTGAGTACCATACTCAAGTACTCTCGCTGTTTTTACACACGCGCAAAGCACAAACGTGGGGCTAGGACCCCCGATCAAGTTTATCAAGATTTTGCACGCTCTAGGGTCAAACGAGTACAAAGAGTACCACACACGTGAGTTTGCACGTCGTGTGAATCCCCTATTACGTGGACGTAGACGCAGCGCTTTGTACCGTGGTGTGATGACAGCCTTATGCATAAATACTCCCGCCATTTGATCTTGAGGGGCAAGTCCACTAAAACGGTACACACTGTGATACCAATCCTGCATCAAAGGTCATAAACTGTGTACGATAATACCCACTAATGTGCTACAACTGGCTGTACCTGCCAAACATGGGACAAGTTGTCCCTCAGGAAGGTGGCGGCCATGTTTTATGCATAAACCCCATTGGTAGTAGTAAGTCTGCGACGCGT